TTTCGTTTCGTTTGGTTTTATTCCGAAACAACACGAGACGTGTGGTTTCGTGTCGTTTGGTTTCGTTTGGAAACCTCCGCTCTGTTCGGTGTTGTTTCGTTTGGCATGCGCGGTTTGATTCGGAATAAATAACAAGTTACGACGCGTCACACGCATCAGATGCAAACTCCCCGCAACTCCCTGAAAATGTTGTCCCCAAACGTTTTCCCTGCGAGGTATCCATGATGCTCTCAAATTTCAAGGTTGTCCCATCATTTGAGAGACAAGGGAATATGTGGAATTACGCCAGATTGTCAAACATAGATGCGGAAGAGCCTCTGGGATTTTACGAAGATGAAGAGTCAAGGGCCCAGCGAAATGCAGAAGAAGACGCGCACGCTTGGGGGCATTGTCCAAATTGGTTTGTGGACATGATTCCAGAATTATCGCTTGAAGAGCGATTGTTGGGATGTGCCACCTGTATGATATGTGGCTGTAAGTAGTACATTGCCGATAAACCTGAGGCATATTAACTCTTAGTCTTTATTACGTCTGATGCTCTTTTGGCTCACTCTCTTCAACGTCATTTGCAAATACCCTGTTGTTCAAATGAACGAACTAACCAAACGATGAAACAATTCATAAAGACGAACAGATCTGCTGAGTATCGGGTCCCTGTTGAGAATGAAAGACTTAATGGTCGGAAATCCCGTACCTTTGGTTTCAACGGTTACATTTGGAAATATCATCTCCCTATGCGGGACTTTGTTTTTGGCAGGGCCGAGATCCCAACTGCGTCGAATGTTTGACGCTTCTCGTCGAAACGTGTCATTGATGTACTTGGGGAGTCTAAGTATCACATTTGTTCTTTTGTTGATGCCCCGCTTCTTGGGACGGGGATTGGTCCTGTTTAAACTCCTTCTAGGTCAATATGCCTCCATATCCTGGTACTGCCTGTCATACGTTCCATTTGGAAGAGAATTACTTGAGAAGTGTTTCCGTCTAATGATGGCCTCCAATAGCAACGACACCGACGAATAATTCAGAGTTGTTGCATCAGCTGTAAATTGAGTTGCCGAGCATCGATCGGAGAAAAACTGATTACCAAGAAAACACCGCGATTCGAATCAATATCACCAGCGGAAAAATCATGTACGCGTGTTGTCCAGATAGATTGTTGCGTTGAACTCATCACTATTTTAATCGTACCTTAGATCTATAGCAGCTTTTTCTTCTTCTTTTTCGGTGGCTTTACTTGAACTTCAACATCTTCAAATGCCATCTCGACCTTTTCTTCGTGCATGTCATCCACGTCCAAGAACCCATTTTGCCGGGGACCTCGGGGTTCCAACAAGGGTTGATTTAATGCAGCAGGAGGGCCGCCGTGGTTGCTCAATTGATTGTGATTGTCGTAATTCCGTTCGTACCTAGCCTTTCCCCCCTCGTCCTGCTTTCGCCGCTCTTCTTGACGCTTCCACAACTCTGGCTCTGGATCAGCAGCCATTGGTTCAACAGCGCCCAACACGCGACTTGGTACGGTCGAAAAGACACGCCCACAATCTACCAATATGGGCGGAACTGGTCGCTGTTCCTGTTTATCCCATGATTCCATCATGTAAGTATCGTGGGACTTTGCTCTTTCCGCTTTGAGAAATTCGGGATGCTTTTTCAGCAAATGCTTTTTGAGAAAGGTGATATCTTTAAACAATTTGCGACAGAAGTGAAAAGAACATCGGGCCCGACCATCGCTATCAATCACTGCGTGATTCTTGATCCAAACGTCTTCAGTACGAGCTTCGTCCTTCTCAATATCCTTCGCTTGACTATCAATTTCCGTGGAGACGAGATACGCTGGCCCACTTGAATCCCACGATTTGGATTCTTCCAACGCATTTTCAATGGCATCATTCAAATGTTGCACGAGTAGATCCACTTTAGGACTTTGCTCTTGCTTGGCTGTAGACCCCGGGTTTTGTGTTTGCTCAAGAATAATATCTGCGTTGGCAAGACGCAAGTGAATGGTAGATGTTGCGTTGTTTCCACGAAAGACATCAGAAATATTGGAAGCTGCAACACATCCATTGTAGAATGAAAAAAGGTGTACCCGCCTCAAGTACGCAATAGAGAGATCCAATGCATCTTCTGTGTCTTGCAGGGTAAGATCACTACCTTGCAATCTTGGAAGAGCGATTCGCAACAGAACTCCTAGGCGGCAGTCTCGAGGAACATCCCTCTTGTGGTCAAAGGCATTTGCCAGTTCGATTGCAGCATCCTTGTCTTGCTGAATTCGTGCCCTTGAAGACACTGCCACAGACAAAACCTTTACTGCCGGCATAATGGGTTGCGTAGAGACCCAGACAACTGCATTTTTTGCTGGAACACACCCGCCCTCTTTCGGTAAAGTTCCTTTCCCATCTGCGTCCATTTCCAATCGACCATATGCATCACTGCATTCAACTTCTAGTTCCAAAGTCTTAGGCATGTATGTGTCCTCTTTTCTTGGTACGTGGGCCCCATCTGCGGCACCGTTTTGATTGGACTCTGTGCGTCCCAAATGATTAAGATTTTGGATAATATCCTTTCTTATGTCACGCGTTGCTTGGAGAAAGCAAGACCTGGTAAGATCCTGAGCTGGTGTGGAGGAGTATAAGACAATTTCAGATAGTTTCGCGTCATTAGTACAATGGCTCATCAAAGCAGCCGTGAGTTGCTCGTCCGTAACGTGTGGTGGAACTTCTTGGATTTGCATGACGTGAGCAGACGTGCTGAAAACATGTGTAGAGGGTACACTGCCTCCATTGGAGTTACTTTTCGACGGCGAAGAGGAGTAGGATGAGGTCGGTTTCACACCCCCGCCAAGCCTTGCATTCAAGACGAAAATGGAACGGTCAGATTCTGCATTTTTCTTGCCTACAGATTCCCTCAGTTGACGTGCAAATGTCTGAGCTTCTTGAATCATCCTATGTTGTTCCTGAAATGCTACTCGGTAAATTCCAAGAGGACTGTACAACGATCGAAACCACGAGTCGTCCATATGCTCGTTGAAAAAGGTACGCACATAGTTTAGGCAGTAGCCCCTTCTATAATCATCGTATTCCTCCTCACCCTTGCCTGGATTCGCTTCTTTCCACAAATACTGACAGAGCATTGGCTCCTCTGCGTATAGAGTGGACGGGTGAACTTTACTCTGTTTCCGACGTGGAGGAGGAGATTCAGATCGGTGCTTCCGTTTGCGACCAGGTGGACGCTCATCTCGTTCTCTTCCATATCGAGATGTTGGAAGAGCCTCGTTGAGATGGGAAGGAGTCCCATCGTCACCATAGCGAGGAGGCGATGGAGATCGTCTATGCCCTCGGCTACCAGGAACTTCCCGGCCGAATTCATCGATTGCCATTATCTATTAATGTCCGGCCTTGAGCAGCTATGGATGCTTCTTGCAGAGATGGCTGATGGCTGCAGTAAGTGACACTCGGATTTTGTTGGGTTTATTCTAGGTGATTTCTTCTAAAACAGGAAACTTTTCTGCTTCTAACAAGTGAACAGCTACAATTAGTGGTCTATCCAATCGTCTCTTTGAATAACTGGGACACAGTCGTTTTCGTCCCTGGAACACCCGGCAGAACGATGATTTTTGTCATTGTTCGAAGAGCGGACAGACCTTCTTCAGTCATTTTCGAAATCCATGTGATCACGTGGGATAAGAAGAATAACTCATACTTAAGAGCAAAAGCTA